TACGTGCGTGCGCGCGCAGATACAAACCAGAGTCAGTTGAGGCAGGGTTCAATTTGTGACGCTGTAAAACGCGGAAGTACTTACGTCGTTAATCGTTACTGCAGTATTAATTATCCGCAGAACAATATGCAAAATGTACCTATAGGAGCAATCGCTGAACAAAGTGCTTTGAGAAAGAGAGAGAAAGAAAGAGAATATTAGGTATAGAAGTTTTAACATACATTTATTTTCCTATTTCTTAGGCGGGATAACGAATTCTCAACGTTCGCCTTTGTTTTTGTACCCGCGCGGTATCGTGCGACGTCACGCAGGTGATTGTTTCCGCGAAGGTCGCCGCGTTATCATTCGCCCGCCGAACCTCGAGCCGGCAGGCAGTGTCGAGAGTCGCTCCGTGTGTCGTATTTCTTTTACGTTATCAATTTCCGAAACGCGATCGCGATCAGCGTGGGACTAAAACTCTACCAATTTGTACACCTTTATCAGTAACAAGTAACGTTTATCGATTAATTATTAAATTTCTACAACTTGTAATGAGAAACGAATTGCATGTTGAGGCGACGGCTTTTTAACAACGTACATAGATATATTTTACGAGACTAACTTATCTAATAAAATATAAATATAAATCGTGGTACTAGATAACTAGATCGTGAATACATATTGCTTACGCATCGCGTTTGGAATTATCTGTCGATTTCGGTGTAATCTGTCTTTCAGTTTCAAGAAACAATAGAGAAATTTGTAGGCATATGGCTTTAGTATTTGCGTTGTTTGCTGTGTTTCGTCCTGTTATATCTCGTAGCTCAAATAGGCAAGAAGTAGGGAAAGTCGCTACGTTATATTTCAAAATGAAGAATTATCTTGGTTAATTGTTAGAATTAATAGACTTGATCGTAGTGGGTGTTTCGCTCGAACAATTTATTTCGCGTAAGGATTAGATCGTTTAACAATACGGATTGCAAAATATCGTTTCGTCGCGGATTAGTATAATAACTACTTCTTTACCGCAAATGCTTGGATTTCGATACTCGCATCGTATTTTATATCGTGCATTTAAAAGTGACTTATTCATTGATACTTTTGAATCGAGAATGCAAAATAGTACGCGAGTTGTCGAGTTGATTAATTTGCGTGTCGGAAAGTTGTTTTTATTTCGTAGGCGAGAAAACGAATTCCCAACGTTCGCCTTTGTTTTTGTGCCCGCGCGGTATCGTGCGACGTTACGCACGTGATTGTTCACATGAAGGTCACCGCGATATCATTCGCTCGCCGAACCTCGAGCCGGCAGGCAGCGTCGAGAGTCGCTCCGTGTGTCGTATTACTTTTACGTTATCAATTTCCGAAACGCGATCGCGATCAGTATGGGAATAAAACTCTATCAATTTGTACACCTTTATCAGTAATAAGTAACGTTCATCGATTAATTATTAAATTTCTACAACTTGTAGTGAAAAACGAATTGCGTGTTGAGGCATCGGTTCTTTATCAACGTACATAGATATTTCAAGAGACTAACTTATCTAATAAAATATAAATGTAAATCGTGGTACTTCGTCGTGAATACATCTCGTTTACGCATCGCGCTTTGAGTTATCTGTCTTTTAGTTTCGAGAAACGATAGAGAAATTTGTTGGTGTACGGCTTTAGTATTTGCGTTGTTTGCTGTGCTTCGTTCTGTTATAATTCGTAGCTCGAACAGGCAGGAAATAGAGAAAATTGCTACGTTATATCTCAAAATTAAGGATTATCTTACAAGTTAATTGTTACAATTAATAGACTTAATCGCAGTGGGTGTTTCGCTCGCACAGTTCATTTCGTGTAAGGATTAGATTGTTTAACAGTTTGGATTGTAAAATATCGTTTCGTCGCGGATTAGGAACTACATCTTTACCGCAGATGCTTTGATTCCGACACTCTTGTCGCGTTTTATATCGTACATTTAAAAGTGACTTAGTCATTGCTGCTTTCGAATCGAGAATGCAGAATAACATGCGAGTTGTTGCTTTGAATGGTTTGCGTGACTTGCGATACTTTGTGCGTTTCGCGGTATTTCACGTTGCGTACGAGAGTGTCACGCAAAATTTCGCGCGATCGTAATTAATTATTCTCGCGAGTGAATATTGTGTGAGTGCAACAAGGAAATCTGAGAGGAGGAGGAGGAGGCCCGGGAGGCATCGGGCAACGGCGGAGCAACCACGAGGTGAGTGTTTTATTTTATATATTATTTGCTGCCTGCAAAATTAATATCTATTCGCTGTCTGTCTTATTTATTCAAATGACTCTTGAATAAGAATTGCAGACCAAAATATACGTTGAAATCTCGTGAGTTTGTATTTAAAAGAAAGAAATTTTTTCGAGTACTTCATTTTATTAAATATCTAATTAAAGAATAGATAAAATATTTAATACAATAATTTCGGTTTTAAATCAGTATTCTATAATACTCATATAACATATATTTATATTTTACAGATCAACGTAGTTTACGACAACTCCGCTGTTGCGCATCGTATCGGTGAGTGGTAAACCTTCTATTTAAAAAATTTGTATAATGAATCTATTATACATAAAACTACATTATGTAGTAAATGGAATATACAAATAAAATAGGCTAAAAAATAGACGTGATAGGCTAAAAGGGAAATTAATAATATTTATTAATAGTTGATACAGAGTGAAAGGAAGAGAGTCGTGTAGCGCACGCAATGCTAAGTTCACGTTCTCTACACCCGGGAAAAAATTTTCACATATGATCATATATAATCATATATGCTCATATACGAAAAATGTCCATATATAAGATACCATATGTATCATATATGATCGTACATGATAATGTGTTTGTCATATATGACAGTATATATGACAAATACATTATCATATACGATCGTATATGATAATGTGTTAGTCATATATGACAGTATATATGACAACCATGTGCATCATATATGATCGTATATGATAATGTATTTGTCATATATACTGTCATATATGACAAACACATTATCATATACGATCACATATGATACATATGGTATCTTATATATGGACATTTTTCGTATATGAGCATATATGATTATATATGATCATATGTGAAAATTTTTTCCCGGGCAGATTGTTGTATCGTTGCATTTGCAGTATAATCTGCAGTTTCTCTATGAAATCCTGAATATTCCTTTATACACGTTCGATATCGCGCGCACGGTTATCGCTAGGCGCGAGACACTACCGTGTCTCTTGATATCGTGAGTTCAATGTAGATATCTAGCCTGTAAAATATATTTACAAAATTTTAATTTATTTTGAAAATATAGTAATGGTATATCGTATAATAAAAAATAAATATAATATAATAACAGATCGTATAAGTTAATAGTAATATTATAAGTCAAATAATATAATCGGTTAACAATAAAATGCGTATTAAGTTTGATCGCGTAAAAATTTTCAATGATTAGCTTTGGCCAATTGTAACTTTGAAATA